TCCCCGGATCAAATCAAACCAGTGGGCTGATGCAGTATGATTGGAGCTCTGGTACCGTCTAATAGCCCAGAGACTGAGCCTGACGCATGCTGTTGTCTCTTTCACTGCTTGATACGCAATTCCTCATGTGCAGGCTACCCAGGGATGAGCATCTAGTGGGATCCTTCTGATCTGCTTGGAATGTCACAGATCTGATAATGGGAGATCCTTTACTTAGGTAGCAATACTCCACTATAAGCCAAAGTCCTGCGTTCAAAAGGTTACGAAAGTATAGTCAGAAAGATGCACCTAAGGCATCAGATTAAAAGCGTTTGTAAAAAAAAAGGTATTACAACTACTTTAATTGATACTTTTTTCATGTGTCTAATGACAATGGGAAATCAATGAGAGAGGGATGATGGTTACATCGATTCATTTTAGCATCTTTCAGCTCCTTGTTTTGTCTTTTCAGCACACAGACTTCCTGTTTTCGTTCACTACCGCCGCTCTAATAGCATCATTTTCATAAAAAAATGTCTCACAAAGACCGAGAAAACAGCAGAAATGCACCGTTAGCAACAAGCTAATGAACAAAACGAAGCATTTAGCAGCTCAAGACTTTCCCTCAGGAGTTAGTGGGAGACCAATAAAATAAGTGAATGTCTCACTTACATTCTCAAAGTGGACAGAAACTACAAAAAATGTATGTGTATTAAAACGTACAATATTTTTCCTTTAAAATGGAGGAAAACAAAAAATATCAGCTGTTCTCTTCAACCGATCTCTGAGGGAGTCTTTCCTTGTACACATGTTTTTTCGGTATTACCAGCAAACTTAAGCCTCTAAAAACTGGTCCCCTTGAGGCTTTCATCATGTAAGCATCCCAACAATAGAAGACCAAACTCAGCCTTCACTTAAGGCGCTGACTCCCGCTGAGATTTGACCAGTGACCCTCAGCAGGCTCCTCCACCTCTCTGGATGTGAATGCGGCCCCTTTCTGCAGCTCTGTCAGTCTTTCAGCCGGCACGAGTGTGTTACTTTCCGTCTCTCGCTAATGGCCTCTTTCGGTCTCTCACCCTCCTAATAAGAATCAATATCGGCTCTCTTAAAAGTCATCATGCACAGAGGTAAAAAGGCTCAAGAGCATGAAATTGCAGATGAGAGAGGCTGTACTTCAGCAACACTAGGCTGGAATATAGGCTTCAAATGGGGAGAGCTGAAGACATACAGTAGAGAGGCAGACCAAAAGCTATAATGGTGCTGGAAAGAATAGAAATGGAAAAGGAGAAGGAGAAAGGGCCAAAGAGAGAAAAACATTTCATGCTGCAGAGATTTGTGAAGCTTTTGTTGTCTTTAAAAAAAAAGCTACTCTCCTTATGGACATCAAAAGGCGCAGCTACAAAAAGCTTATCATGTCAACGGCTTATCTCCCATCTCATCTTCTCACCTCCTCAAAGCAATAAACACACGTAGAGCACCTGCAAGATGGGGAAATGCACAACAACAAAGAGGACGACTTCAGGACGCCGCAGCACTCCCTCTGTTTTCATTACCACACGCTGTCCCGGACGCCAGGTGAGCGCGCTGATTGAGCTATGGATTATCCCACATGCACAGATGCAGAGTCTGAAGCATGAAGGACACACGTTGAGGCGGCCGAGGCAAAGGCACATTACAACTGAGAGCAGACCTCAAGGACTCCGGTAGATTAAAACAGGTTGAAATCCCATTTGTGGCGTTTGGGGTCTTTAATGTCAGCTTTCTCTCCTGCTCTCGCTCGATTCTCGTGTCCCTTAAGTGAGCCGAGTCAAGAGTCTGAATAAACAAATAAGATTGCATTTGTGGAGACAAGCATCTCACATTTGCATGGCAATAATATCAAGCTGTGGGCAGTGTAATATGAACAGCAGGAAAGCTGCAGGCATGGTTATGGTTTGTTTTGTAACACTTTATATGACGCCCATGCAAACCATACTTATAATGCATCAGGATCTGCTTATAACACGGTGTCATAATAGTTATAATCACCCTTAACGATTCATAATGCTTCACAATATTGATCAAGTGCCATCTTATATTGCAAGAATCATAGTATATTACAATAAACATTGTTGTTGTGAATTGTGTTTTCTCCTGCAATTATGATACCTGGTTATAAGTTACTATAAATGATCTTTGCTTGCTTTATTTGAGGTAAAATAAAGATTAAAAAATGTTTTATTTATTTTGTGTGATTTTTGTTTTAAGCATTATTTTTACGAGAGCTTGTAAATATAGTTTTAAATTCCTATAGGCAGGTTACCATGCATTATAAGTGTATTTATAATGTAGTATAGACATGTGTTCATATAAATGATAGGGAAGCAATTAAATGGTAATTTACTATTTAATTGCATTTTTTAAAAAGCCCCACATTTTTTTAATAAAGGTAAGCACCAAAGTTAAATAACAGAACATCTAAATATTAAATTACAAGTATGTCAGAGTTGTACTGAATTAGATACTCACATCTTAAGCTAGCTACCTTTTACTCGCTATGCATCCATTTCATACCCCTCACAAAGCATGCTGGGTATGGAAGAACAGCGAGAGAAGAGACTTTTGTTCCCTGAAGACAGATCTTCTCCTCTCCCAGGGTGGTACACTGCCTGGAAGGAAGCTCGAGTCAGGGAACACAAGTCCCCCAGTGGCATGAATGTCACCACCGATTGTGACGTGATTGGGTGCATATTCCTTTTTTTAAATGGTACTTTTTGTCCAGTATTCTGTGAATCCTACTGCCCAGAACTGGCTATACACTGCACACCATGACAATTAGCTACCCTTATTAAATTCCCACCTTTGAGTGACCTACTGTAAAGCCTTCAATCGACGTGTGTGTATTGGAGCTGTGGGAGTAATCAGAGGCACAGCAGACTCACACAGGTCGAAATGCAATCCCACTGCCTCCCTGATGAAGGCTGCAGAGCAAATAACCACCATTTTATAATTAATGAGAATTATAAAATAAAATAAAATAAACATGCATATGAGATTTATAGCTCGTGAATTTTATTATCATCATTTTTTTGGATAAGGAATGAATTAAACGTACACCAAAAGTGTTCAACAGAGTTTAAATGATAGGACCAAAGCACATATCTGTGTATTAGCATAAAGCCCTCCTGGGCCTCTGAGGTCATCTGGTAGCAGCATGCTAACTCTTCCCAGAGTCCAAATTAACATTATGATTATGAACCGTTTATTATCTAGTCCTCTGTTTTATCTCTTCAATTTCTTTGAGACGGTTTAATTTGCATCTTAATGTTTTATGCTTCATTTCCTTATTTATAATGCATTATGTCAAGCATTTGGAATTGCTTTTGTGTATGAAATGTGCACAAATAAACCTGCCCTGCCCTAAGTTCATGAAAGCACATTTTATCGACAAAACTCTCCATTTATACATATTTGTTTTGGAAAAATCACCTATATGAGTTTATATTTTAAGGTTCTTTTTATTTTTCGCTGTGCACAACTGGCATCCACCTGCGCAGGTCTCTAAAAAGTCAGCAGATAAGCGAAAGCCCTCTTCACAGAAAGAGTATCAAGCCCACACAAAATTCCACGGTACTCCACGGAGGCCACGTTGTGAAAAATACCTCCTGATATTATCTGGATAACGTAGGGTTTATGCAGCATTCAACTTATTTACTGGCGGGAAAGGCACACTTAAGGACAGCAGATTGACTCCGCAGTGCAGAGAGCATGTGGTCATGTCTTCCAGATCAGATTGTTCTTTGTTCGGGCTCAGGCAGAGCGCACAAATCTCAGTGGGAAGCGGTTTGGCTAAAGAAAGAAATTGAATTTGAAGACAGTCTCCAATGTCACATTCAGCTGTGCCTGCCGTATATGTACTTTTATTAAGCCTCGTTCCACTTACACAAAGCCATTCCTCATGCGATCAGCAGGTAGAGGCAGTCAAACAGCGCTGAGGATAGGCAGCTCGTCCAATCGGAGACAAAACTGTGAAGGCGCGGTTGAATCGCGAGGAAAACAAGACATCCAAAGGTACAGTTCGCTGCAGGTTATTCCAAACTAACAGAGCTGTTTTTTCTGCCCCCCCCCCCCCCGGGTTAGAGGCTACATCATGTGACACAGAGTCAGTGACAGGCACCCTTAGAGTCAATGAAGATGTCACAAAGAGACGTCAGAAACCACATTCTCTGAGCTTTCTTGAAATTACTACAGAAATGTTTTAAAGGAAAGAAAAATCTTCTTCAACATTAGATAAATATCTTAGGAAGCCATGGCAACAACTAATGAGGCTCTTTTTTCATCTATACACAAAGCTCAATCTTCTTATTATTATTATCATCTTTGAAGCCTCTCGTCTTCGCTGACCTGTGAAAACTATTCATCGCTAAATTTGGTGATTTTAATGAAGTGTTACTTTACTTAAAGCCACATGTAAAAACCTGTTACCTTATCAGAAAATAACGTTATCACTGTTGAAAACAAGGTTGTTTTTCTTGGATCGTGAAATAAGAAGAAGAAAGAATAAGAATAAAAAAAACACCAAAAGAATATGAATAGGAGGAAATAAATAAATTCAGGTATTTGTGACATGATCCCATCTGTTGGCGGCGGATTCAGAAACCCCCCTGCAGCCACGCTTTTTGAAAATGATTCAACTGTAAATAGATTAGCTGCAGGCTTTACTAACATCATAAGCACATCCTTCGCCTGTGATCTTCTCTGCTCCGTATCGTAGGTTTATCCACCTTAAGCTTCTTCTTAAGAACATCAACCCCTTAGCTGCCCTGATGCTGTGATTCAACGCATTGCTGTGGCTGAATTTTACACTTAATTATTTTCATGTACTTCAACACGCACATAATCCAACATAAAGGATGAACACACCTCCTGAAAAAACCTACTCATGTTTGAGTATAATTTGCTGAAGTGGCCACTAACTAAGCTAAACTAAGCTAAGCTGGGCTCCCTCCCACTCCTCCCCCTCCTCCTCCTCCTCCTCTTACCGTCCACACAGGCGGGTCTGGCTCTTGTAGTCCCGGCGATCTGGCCCTTCTTACAGGCGCAGCGGGCCGTCTGCCTGGCGATGGTCCGCCGTGGTTGGCTGCTGTCCCGGTCCAGCGTCACAATCTCACACGTCCCCGCTGCCAGCTGGCCTGGAAAACACATTGCACCATAGTATGTGAGGTCAGAGGGATGAAATCATAAACAGGGGAACATAAAACTAGTCTGTTTCTCCTGTTAAATGTGTGTTCTGTCACAGCTCTCTGTTTTTGGGAATCCTATGAATGCTTAAATTGGCACGGGACAAAAGTTACCAAATTCAAATGAGTGGGGTTCACTGGGAACACTGTCACTGTATTTATATACTGTACAAGATGTTAACACAGGCTAGGAAATTGACTCGAGTTTATGAACATATGATATGATATTTTTAACACCGCTTGGTCCATGGGTGGCTCAGTAGGAAGTGTGCTGCACTTCGAATCAGGGGATAGCAAGTTCGAGTCCCACTGCAGTCAGCATGTCGTTGTGTCCCTGGGCAAGACACTTCACCTCAAATTGCTCCTGTGTGGATTGTTCACAGTGCTGAATGTATGTAAGTCGCTTTGGATAAAAGCGTCTAACAAATGACATGTAATGTAATTTAAAGTGAGGTTTATAAGTTTTGCTGTAAAACGGCAATTTTTGCCACATTAACGACATTCCTAATTTCACTGAAATTCCCAAGATTCCCTTGAGTAAGGGGTTTAATTACTTGGGCTACCTAGTTAACATTTGAACAAGCTAATTTGCTAACATTAGCCACCATAAGCTACTGATCAAGATAGAAAAAATCGGTAGTGTATTGAATTGAGAAAGGGTGTGTTTCACTGCTAATTAATTAATAATAATTGCTTTTTCTTTTCCAGGGGTAGATTTAAGTTATTTCATTTTTCCCAAATAAAATGTACTCACTTAAAATAACTGATTGAATACGAGAAAAGGCAAAAAATGTGATCCCATACTCAAAAATAAAATTAACTATAGCTGTGACCACATACAAGCAGAGCTGGCCGGCTCTGTTCTGATTGGTCAACCACTTAGAGATGTCCTGTACCCTCACGTACTATGTGTTCGAGCGCTATCCAATAGAAGCGCGAGTGTTACATAGTAATGACACTATGTCAAGAAAAAAACAAAGCACTACAAGCGAGGTATTTCAGGCAGGAGAGGGGGGGGGGGGGGGGGGGGGGGGGGGGGGGGGGATATTTCAGAGAGAAACTCCATCGGAGAGGGCTTTGGTTTTAGCTTTTGCAGACCATTTAAAGTGGACCTATCATGCTATATTTGAATAATATATTGTAGGGCCATACCTATATAAAACATGTCTGTGCATTTTTTTTTTCAAAATACCAAACAGATCATGCATTTTAGCCATGCCTCATTTCGCTCTATTTGCTCTTTTCCAGCCCTGTTTTTGCAAGGGCTGATTCTGTGAGAAGTCTTCTTCGCTGCTTTTGTGGCAGACTACAGCGCCACTTACAGGCCTGGCATATGTACTACAGCGTATCCAGCGCTTTCGAGCGGCAATGGCCGTGGCCCAACCCCCCATTCCCCTGATAGGTGGAGAGTTGCCCATATAGGCGGAGCTCCCTGTTTCTGACGTCAGAACAATTTCAAATCTGTATCAGCTCCGTTGCAGCCCCGTTTTTAGAGATTTGGGTATGGAGGAAAAGAGAGAGGGTTGTGTTTTCTGACACTTGGTGAGTTCCCTGACACACCGGGGACACATATTCATGTATAAAAGACGTACAAAAGTGCATTTTGCATGATAGGTTCCCTTTAAATGCAAATAAACCTATATAGCACACTATAGGAAAGGGAAAAGCCCAAAAAGCATAATAGGGGCTCTTTAAAGAAATCTTTATCCGACCTTAATCACAATGGAGAGGTTTTGAAGATACTGTCTTGATATGTTCACATCAATGTCAGAATAGAGGTACGTTCTTAAAGGTTGAACAGACCCCAGAACAGAGGGACCACTGCTGGGGTAATGAGAAGCTCACAGATGTGACTGTGTGAAGGGACTTTAAAAGACAATGGGAAATGACTTTTTTCACCTACCTAAAGACTTACCAAAAGCTATTTCTCATTAAGGGCCATGTCCTATCAGCACCCCTCTTTGAAGGTAAAGTGCCCATTAGCCATGAATGAAACACATGAATACTGATGAACTTTGTAATTGCTGCCAAGGCCCCCCCCATCTTACACACACATGCTCGATGTATTCAATCAGGTGACCTTCGTCCTCGTAGCCGGGCCCTTGCTGCTCGCAAATTAACCTTTGTCTGTGTGTGGAGGCCCTCGGGTGCCGTCCTGCAGAGGCTTATCAGGATCTAATTGTGATTGGCAAGAGGATGGAAGTTGTGATTAAATCTGGACTTGAGTCCCGACCACTTGGGTGGCTGGCTTAATGAACTGAGCTGTGAGGGGTCACACCCGGGGTAATGGGGGATCTATCAGGATGCATCCGCACTGTGGTGGCCCTGGCCACAGATAGAGGAAATGTCTGATGTTAATACAAATAAAAAAAGTGGGTCTGCATATGAAGGGGAAAAAAACACCTTACCAAAACCTATCTTTAAAGGCCAAACACCAGATATTTTACAAAAGTCACGCAACTAGAAAATGAACTTTTTTGTTAACCGTTTTTATCTATGTAAATGAGGAAATATTTAGTACAAAATCATACTATACACCAATACTTTGTGTGATGCTCCTATGTCTTATATGCTAGTACTGAGATACACTAAACCAAAAATGCTGTATATGAATATAATTTGAACATGCATACAACAATTCTACATTGAAACGTTGATAACCATACGCAATTTCAACTTTTAATGAGCTGAACATTTCGTATTTATCATAAGAAATAGATTTTTAGCAAACCTTAGCAAATCATGTAATGTGTTGGAGCACTAGCGACCTCTTGGGTGTTTTAGCCTTTGCAGACAATTTAAATACGCAAAATCCACACTACAGGAAGATATACAGTAGAAGGAGTCCATATGAGGCGTTTCGGGCAGGGGGGTAGTGTGTGGGAAGAGCATAATAGGGCCTCTTTCAATGATAAGGTAATGAGAGGTTGTCTATTTAAATGTCAACACACTGACTCAAAGTGGTCAATTCATTTGAGCACAGATGTGTTGTTCATAATGTCCGACCCCATGAACCTCTGGCCATGTATATCTGTACTGCAGTCTCAAGCCAGAAGCCACACATTAGAGCCACATGCAGCTCTATAAATACAACTCTTCCAATAGTAAGAAGGGGAAGTGATTACAAATGTGCCAAAGATCTTAACACTAGATGTCTTTACTTGGAAATTCATGCCAACAAATCCAATCTGTCATGTCTTGTGCACTTGGGAGATCTAGACCAAACCCCCCCCCCAAGCACCACCACCACCCTTTCCACTGCTCTCATCCTCTTGCTTCACAATGCTGGCTCTTTTCTCCTTCATGTCTTCTCACTTAACTCCCACTTGCAACTCTTCTGTCTTCTCCGGGTGATGCCAGATAATGACTTGTCATGTAAGCCCTTGTGTGCGTATGTAAATCTGTCCATGTGTATATGTGCGTGCGTTCACTTCCTGCATCCTCCCCCGCCCACCATCTCTGCAGATCATCTTCTTGGATGCCTTCTTCCTGCTTCCTCTCTTTGTCAGTAGCTTCTCCTTTGGAACTCTTCCATTGCAAGAAGCTGAAAAGACTTTCTGGATGTCTTATGTAATCGTGCAGATCGCTGTGGCGCCGAGGTACCATGTGTGAAGTCAACATGCTCAAAGACTGGCAGATTTGACGTTGCGATTCTCTGATGAAATGTAGGCAATTAATGAGCTCCATCGAGTCAAGAAAGAACAACAACAAACAAGGGCCCCGCTTATACTGTCACAGCTGTAGCTCCAGAGAAACTGAATTGATTTAATTTTGATGATGTTGTCTTGTAATGTATTATATAAAACTGCAATGACTGATAATGAAACTTTTCATTTTGAACACAATAAAGGAATATAATAATTGTGCTCTGCCTCATAAATATGTGTAGTTGCATTCTCTCTAATGGCATTGTGCTTTAGCAGGTGTTCTTCACAGTTAGTGTGTTGTTGATACCACTTCTATTGTTAATCACTGTATTTTCCAAATGTTGAAGCACAATCCTTAATCAAAATGGTCAAATTGTTGTTTTATTAGATTAAGTAAGGCAAAACCATATTTCCACTTGTTTTTAATCTAGCATGATTCATAATCAAAGTCATGATAATTCATCAAGACTAAAATCCACAGCCATGCTTGTTCAGAAAGTTAGGGTTAATAAAGTTATTGTGATTCATTCTAAGGGGGCAACATTTCATCGTAATTCGTTCAAACTCAAGTCTGAGATTTCACTCAAAGCCACAAATATCAGAGGATATCCCAAATTAAATATTATATCGTAAGGGATCCATGAATATCGGTATAAAATGTTGGTGCTTAATCATCCAGTTGATGTTGGGACATTTTGTTGGATAAAGGGAAAGTCTTACTTGCTGTTTGTGCTAGAGGACAGTCATGGGTGACCAAAATCAGTAGGAGCCATTGTCTGTGAATGTATTTACTACATTTAATGGCAATCTACCATGGATGTAAGACAAGTAGATAAGGTGTTGGAGGCAGGACCCCGTTCATTCCTATGAAAGTTTCCCAGTGGCGCATGAAGCCAAAGTGGCCTGATTGGCGGTGTACAAAAATACCCATATCTAGACCCATAGCATGCACATTTCTTAAGCCCCGCCTCCAATCCGCAGCCGAGAAAATATTTCTGGGTAGTTGATTCAGTTATCCTCTGATTTACATTATGCATTTTTTCCAATGTAAGTCAATAGGAGAAGTATTTTTGGGCCGAATGACGTCATATATTTGGGATGAAAGTCCGTAGAGACCTGCGAGAGAGAATTTTAATTTTAAACAAGTTGGTTTCTGCTGCAAGCATACTAGGTGTTGTGCAGTCTTTCTAAATATTATGTAAGAACTTGAGGAAAAGCTGGTCTCAGCCCCCCAGTAAAGCAGGAGCCGAATCCATCTTTATTTTTATAAAACAAATTGCCCCAAGCTTCCCCGTGGCTGATACT